ACTATTTCTCCGGAAAATTCCTTGGTGATGCGTTTGAGATTCTCAGACCGTAGGCAGACGAACACCGGTGTGGTCCCTTTTAGAATGCGACGTTCCAAAAGGGGAGCCTTATACTAAACAAATTTCGGAAGCTAGCCAGGAAGGTGAGGGCTTGGCCATGCTCCTCCTTCTCTGATTTGATCAGTAGGAGGAATGAGAGTACTGGGGTTTTATCACAATTCTGACAGCTTGTCTCAAGCTTAGATTTGCGTTGAGATCCATTTTTGTCCTCAGTAATGGGATCCGGTTCTAAACCAGGAAGGCTACAGTCACAAGAATTTAATCGTTTATTTCATATCTCTACGTGTTTCATGGAACGGACTGCCAGCTTTTATGGTCATATCTCCAATCTCAGCTTTAAAAACGTACTGTTTAGGGAACATTGACACAACCAACACAAAGCTACCGGCCAGGAGCTATTTCCCGCTATGCTTCCTCACAACGCGCTGAAGATTTCACATTGATTGGTGGCGAGACATCTGCAATAAAATTAACCAAAAAAGCGAACAAAACGAAAAGAAGAAAGCACTGGAATATGCTAGCCGAAATTAGGGCATTGTGGTAATTAAGTTTCGTACGTATATCGGTACAACCCGAAAAACTAGAAATCCAGAATTCAACGAAGAGTGGCAACCAGCACGTATGTATTCGAATTGGCGAATATGTACAGCATATGGAATATTAAAACAAGAGAATAAGGAATAGAGCAATGAATAGAGCATCAGTCATGTTCATCACATCCGCCACACCTTGAATGAGCGTGCGGGTGTTTATAGTCCAGTGGTGGTCTTGACCGCAATCTTTCGGATCTTCTCGGAATGGAAACTTCAGAATCTTCACAGGTAGTACGTTCTTCAGATACAGCATTTTGTTCGGATACCACAAGATCATCTACAAAGGACTCATTAGTATTTGAAACAGCAGGAGTGCCGTTAACAGACTGACCTCTGGTATTGAACTCAACCTGGTCAATGTGTCTCCGATGACAAGAGAGATCATCCAAATCGAGAATTGTGACCATTCGTTTGCCATTTGATGAAAGCACTATTCCTGTTGCGGGTCGTAAATCATTACCCTTGAAAAATGTAACATCAGCCGTTTTGGCACAGTCAAGACTTGTACGCAACGAACGAGATTTAAATAGAAGCGCGGGACTCTTCCCAGTAACGGAATGGACGGCGTTCCTGTATTGCATTAGAAAATTATCAATCCCACGGTCCAATTCCACAAAAGTAGTGGGAGAGAGTGAAATAATAGCAGATTTAAGTATTCGGACAAAATTTTCAGCAAGTCCATTCGACTGGGGATGTCGCGGAGCAGTAAACAGATGTCGACAACCAAGACCCTTCAACCATTCCTCGAGGAATTTTGCAGTGAAGTGTGTGCCGTTGTCAGTGACCAAAACAGTTGGTACACCTTCGTGGCTGAATACTTTCCTCAAGGCTTGCTGAGTGAATTCGGCACTTGGAGAAGTAGTTAGAAAAACTTCAGGCCAACGGGAATATGCGTCAATAAGAATTAAAGCATAGTATTTACCAAGAAAAGGACCACAGTAGTCAGCATGAACTCGTTGAAATGCTTCACAAGTAACTGGCCACGGATGCCACTGTGAAGACTTGTTATGAATCTTATGTGCACACTTAACACAATTCTTAGCAGTATGCTTGATATCAGCATCCAGTTCCGGCCACCAGCATGACAAGCGTGCAAGGGATTTCATTTTATCGACACCCAGATGACCAGAGTGTAAATCTGCAAGAACAGCCGCTCGCTGAGTCGGTGGAATGACAACTCTATCCTCAAAACACAGCAAACCATCCGGAGTAACGGACAAGCTTTCGCGGCGACAGTAAAAAGCAGGAAATCGGCGTCGTTCTTGCTGCGTCCAGCCACGTCGCAGTGCAGAGAAAATGGGAGCGAAATATCTTTTAGTGTCAGCAACAAGCACATCCCGCTTGACTGGTAATGGTTGAATCAGTAGACAATCTGAGTTGTTTGAATCAGAGTCACATGATAGAATTCTTGACAAGAAATCGACATGAGGAATCATTTTCGCACTACGATGAACTACTGTGTAGGTGTAAGAACTCAATGCAATAATCCACCGTTGCACCATAGCGGCAGATGACTTCGCCAGAGACTTCGTTGGATGATACAAGAACTTCAAAGCCTCGTGATCAGTAGCAATGGTAAAGTTCAATCCAAAAAGATACTTATGAAGCCGTTTGACAGCCCAATATACAGCAAGTGCTTCTCGTTGAGTCTGAGAATATCCACGTTCGGCTTTTGAAAGTCGACGGGAAATGCAGATCACTGGTCTACCACACTGTTCGAGGATTGCTCCTATTCCAGTGGGAGAAGCATCAGTAATGATCGTCGAATGATGTTTGGCGGAAAATGGCTTCAAAACAGCTGAAGTCTGAAGATAACCAAGCAGTGCACGCAACGCCTTCTCATGGTTGGAAGACCAAGAAAATTGATTGGAAGATATGACATCAAACAGACAACTTGCGTGTTTGGCGAAATTAGGAATGAAACGAGAGTAATACTGAAGTGCTCCTAGAACTGAACGCAGTTCTTGTAGATTGGTCGGTGATGGCGCATTTACTAAAGGGGATAGACGTCTTGTATCAGGTTTAAAACCGCTGCCATCCACAATGTAGCCAAGGCATGAAAATGATGGGACACCAAAAGTGCATTTTTCAGGATGAATAGCTACATTGAACTCAGAAAATCTCTTCAGTAAAGACAACAGACGCATATCATGGGTAGCTTTGTCAGCAGCGTGCACAATGACGTCATCTTGGTACGTCTCAACACCCTCCAAATCTTTTGCAATAGTATTCATAACTTGCTGAAATACAGCTGGTGAAACGTTCAGACCAAAGGGAAGAAAATTGTATCGGAATAACCCAAAGGGTGTGTTGATCACGGTAAGGTTACTGGAGGCTTCGTCCAGTGGTATTTGAAGATAAGCATCTTTTAAATCGATTTTTGAAAACACACTTGAACCTGATAAACGATACAATACATCTTCTGGCTCTTCCGTGGTGCATGTACGTTGTAGTAGCCGCGTATTTAGCGTAAGCCGGTAGTCACCACAAATTCTCGGAGTAATACCATCAGCCTTCAGTGGGGTAACGATCGGAGTTGCCCAATTCGATGACTCAACAGGAGTCAGTATTCCTTTCGCACACATTGAATTTAATGCTTGACGAACAGGCTCGCGTAAACCAAATGGAATAATCCGTCTCTTAAGAAATATAGGCTCTCCTGTAACTTCGAGCCTCATCTTGGGAATTTGCATGCCACCTGTGGCCTTAGAACATTTAAGAATCAGTTGCTTGAGTTCATTCTCATTCGCAGAAGTCAGTAAGGTGATACTGGTTTGCAGTAAGCGTAGAACTTTGAGTCCGACGATCGATGGTCCCGACGTTGATACCAAAAAATTACAATCGATACAGGTACCTTGTAGTAACCTCACAGGGATCGTGCAACTACCAACGAGAGGTACAGAATGTCCAGTGATACCGCGAATGTTAATATCTGTAGGCACTATCACGGCACTGGGGTAGAATGCAGTTAGATCTGATTGTGGAATGATGGACTCAACACTACCAGTATCAACAATAAAGTCATGCTTTTGACCAGAAGCGGATATCAACGTTTTAAAAACATGTGACGAATTTTGGGACAAAACAGATAGAGAAAGAGTAGAAATATCTTCAGATAATGTCTTCACGTCAGTATTTGGGTCAGAAGTTAAGTGACACACTTTCTTGGACTTACAGACAAGTTGAATGTGTCCTGTTTTACCGCAGATAAAACACTTCGCTCGTCTGTGGGGGCATGAATATCTGGAATGGTTTCGTCCACAAGACTCGCATTTCCCAAATTTTTGAGCCATCGGATTAGGGTTACGATCTGTGAAGTGACGTGTTGATGGATTTGGGGCACGAGAATCTGTTCGAGGTTTGAATTTGTTGTTCGTCTGCATCGTTGAATTATTTCTTTTAGAATAATTTAACAAGGCTGCTTCCTCAGTCTTCGTCACATGCTTCACATCTTCATACTGCTCACATATTTTCCGAATAGTTTGAAATTTCTGATCCGGACAGAGTAACAGCTTCTGCTGTAATTCGGGCAGTTGAATGCCAGCAATGAGTCTATCACGCAGCTGGTCTTCCAGTTGGGCACCATAGTCACATTTGGCTGCCTGTGTCTGCAGCTGTAACACGAAATCACGGACCGACTGAGAATGAGAGCGGGTTAACATATTGAACTTAGCTCTTTCGGCTGCTACGAAGTTAATCGGTTTGAAGTGTTGAAGAACTTTGTTTTTCAATGCAGTGTAAGAAATATCAATTGGAGATTCAGGATATACTAATTTCTTGATCAAAGTATACGCCTCCTTGCCAACGAAATGCAGGAAATATGCAGTGAGTTTCTTATCATCCATATCGGATTTTGTGAGGCACCATATGTCGAATCGTTCCAAATAATCCTCTACGTCACGCGCAGTTGAATTAACATCTAATGGTTCCATTTCGGCAGGCATGATGAATTGTTCCAATCGCGACGCCAAAATGTGGTAATTAAGTTTCGTACGTATATCGGTACAACCCGACAAACTAGAAATCCAGAATTCAACGAAGAGTGGCAACCAGCACGTATGTATTCGAATTGGCGAATATGTACAGCATATGGAATATTAAAACAAGAGAATAAGGAACAGAGCAATGAATAGAGCATCAGTCATGTTCATCACAGGCATTTATAGCCTTGAATTTTGGGGCACATAGTCACAAACGATAGCTCCATTGCCAATGATCTACTGCGGAGATCCGTCGCAAAACATATAGTCTCCCATCCGTTTAGCCTGAACGCGGACGAGTTCATATAGAGTGAATAAGAGTTTTAGTGCACTAAATCACCTTGCCAAGGTCGGAATTGTTTCAGCGGCGCGTTTGAAGATGGATAACTTGGGTAACTGCTGCTTGATAATATAAAACACAAAGATCCCCCATTTGAAGCAAATAGGTGATGTATTTCCGTTTTGCACTTATTTTATCATAATCCTGGGTTCTACTCAAAGCCACCTGACAAGTTTTCTCTAATCAGACTCAATAAATATGCATTTGTGATAACACGATCAGGATATAAAATTTATGGCCATCGCTCACATTCACCCATGCGTTCGGCACTGTTTACTGTTTCAAACATCGGAGCGGTTATGGCACTCGGCAAAACAAGGCATAAGGACATTTTTAAGGGTGATTTTTGTTCCAGTATTCCGGGCCACATAGAATCCTTGAGGATAGTACCCATTGTAATAGGACTCGTCATGTCAAGTTACCTGGGCCAACCAAGGGTTTGTTCGTCTGCCTGTTTTGTTTGGTAGCGGTGGTTTCGCACTCACAGACGTTGTAGCGTGACCCGTGCGATATATGAGAACAAGTGCGTTCTATTGAATTACTACGTGATGCCGTCATGAACGTTCGATATGCAAAAGGTTTTTAAACGTTCTGTTTCCTGTTGAAATTTCTTATCTTAATACGAGTATAAGTGAATAAGGTACAAACCGTATACTTACTGGAGAAGTAAAATTCAAAGCAAGCGGAAGACATCCAGACGGAAATGGTCATAGAACGTGTGGAAAATAAAAGGAATAGACCCCGAATGAACCCGACCGCGTTTCGATAGACACGAACCTCACACATCCTCACCAAACTCGTGTGACTCGCAGCAACACTGACGAACACACACGGAAGTGTATTGGTCTGTTTCAACCGCTTACGGATTGAGCTACAAACTTTTGCTTTACCAATCTTGGGAAAACAGCTAATCAGTTCATCGAAACTATCTTCATCCTGCAACACTGTTACCATGGGAGAGGATGTACAGCAAAGACGCACACGCAGGGAAATGTCAGAGGCATTTCTCGTTCATCTGGGTGCATGAACAATTGGTTTGTGTCACACCGAATGTCTTCACGAATGGAACATTCGTGAGTTCAACGAGCGTGAAAATTAGGTCACGTATTTGTAACAACGACTTGGAATTTTTGAAGGGCTGAAAAATCACACAATGGTGGTGAAAATGTCTTGAACTTGATGGAGCGTACAGATAATCTCATAACTACCCAACACCCATTCAAGCTCGGTTCCAAACGCCTAGTGAAAGATCTACGTCTCTGAATGTGGTGACTGATTTGACAGCCCTGACATGATATCTACACTCCAAGAGATGGAGATGCTAAACTCTGTTACACCTCTGGGGCCGGATCTGTGTCCGGGAGACCAAAGCCATATGGGGGCTGCATTGGAGCAACTGGAGAGAGGGATAGTAAACAGGAACTAGGATTGGTTGTTCATACATTTTTGGGCTTGAAAGCGACCATTGTTCATAATCACAGATCGATCGATTTCAAATAGAGAAGCTCAGCTATGCGGTGGCGCCCAACCGACGCCGACCCTATTCAACTTCAGAATTACATTATAAAACAAGATGAGTTCCAAACACGGATAGCAGATTATAAGTTATACATCGATAACGTTAAAAAAAACCGGATGTCAGAAGTGTAACAAATGCAGCAATCGCCCCATACAGTCAACCACGCATATGTGCACATCCACAAAGCCAGCTGCGAAGGATGAGTTTTCTACGTAAGCGTTGAACAACCTTATGTCCAGCCAGTAAGGGAACAACCGTGAAGGTTGTGGGGATTTCGTGGTGTAGGTGAATCCAATCTATGCTGAAAAGCCGAGGAGCACAGTTTGGCTTCGCTTACAGGACAAAATCCCTACAAAACTCGCAAATCTCCTCATACTACCAACAACCGTGAAGGTATATTACAAATTGCCATTGTATCAGGAAGACCTACTTACACGATCGTGGCCATCTTTTGCAATCTGAGCAATGCAACTACCGGATGGACGTATTCTCTGAAGTTCTACTACAGATGCAACCGAGTGTTTACCTCAAAAACCTCCAGCTTTCGAAACATTAATGGGCTTATTTATGGCGGCATGATCCTCTGTCGCTACAAGAGGTCCTTCCTTGAGGAACTGGTTGAAGTTAAATGACTGCAATGTGCATTTGAGCCAACGAAAACATATACTGTAATACAGATTTTGACACTAGGTTTAATTTTTACAAATTCTTTTTAGGGCCAGTTGCTAGTCCATTAGTAGAACAACCTTTGAAATAAAGGAAATATTACGCGTTGATCATCACGGTATGCCTTTAGAAAGTCAGGCAGGCAGTTTTTGAAGGCGTGATACGCCCAAACTTGCGAGTAATCGTGTGTGATATGCGTGATTCAAAACCCTCTGTAACTTTAAAATCTCGATGTAAGTGTTTATTTCACAGAAACGGAACAAAAGAACAACCTAATACAGTCATACACAGGTGTCAACAGAACGATTTATGCATGAAAGATGGAGAGCTATAAAAGCAATATGTAAGCACCGGCTACACATTTTTCTAGAACAAGTAGACACTACCTCGCATACGGGACTATGCGAGGTTTAGGTAAACTCCGCAAAACGTCACTGAAGAAAGTATAATTCGACATTAGTCGGCCAAGAAAGGAAAAGCTTATCTTTTAGTGCGCTTAATAGACAGACCGCCTTGCACCACTAACCTAATGACATCTCTCGGAGTATCATGCAATCCTGAGTAATGCCGATGGCTAATCCATGCGGTAAATTTAGCGAATTATCTGATATATGTATTCATCTGCGCTACTGTATTACTTACAAGACACTGGGATAAGAAGTGCAGCTTTCAAATGGGTGGGTGCAATTGTCAGTCAGAGTCCATGGGGGGAGGCGATAACTAGGGGCATCTCAATTATAGTTAGCTGTCGGCGATGTTCCAGCAGTGAAATTACCTTGATCACTGTCTACTAGATCAGTCGCTACATCAGATCGAGAGATTAAGGGCTTGCCAACATCTTCCAGAGAGAAATGAGCAAGATGAACAAGAGCCAAGCACCCAACATGATAGACTAGTGCAATTGTGCTAAATAGACATACTGCCAACCAGTGTCAGCAAAGTTTGGGTTATCTTGATTGTTCCCGCTTGTAGGATGAACACGTACAGCACTGAAGTGTGCCATTACTCCTGATGCAAACCCCATGTAGCCTTAGAGTACTCACACAAAGCGCACTCAAAAATACGGATTCCGTAAAGAGGATCTGATTTTTGTTCTCAGAATGATAAAGCAAAAGGGACAGCCACCAACACCAATCTCATGCGGGAGGTCACAAGTACGTGCTCAAAATACGGTGGATGGACGAACTAACCCGCGTCTGTCGACTCTTCAGACGTATAACAGCAAGCCGGAACAAGCATGCTGTGTAGCCAATGCAAGCCGACACCGTCGAGAGATTAGACGGTCAACATTTGGTAGCGGGATCTATCGGAAAACTTCGAGGCAGAAATCTCAGAACATGCAATATATCACAACAAAGGGGTGAACAAGGAACAATGTCTGCTTGAGAAAAAACCTTAAAAGAATTTAAAAACGACGAATCGATAGGTGCGTTGCGTATGCATACCTCAGAAATAAAAATCAGTGGGAGCGACTTTTGTCCGTTGAATTATAACTCGAGACAATCTTAAAAGGTCCAAACAAGAAAAAACCTGAAGTGATAAAGAATTGCTTGAGTGTATCTATACTAGATCGAAAAACTTGAGAGTAAAGTCAATATGGATTCCAGTTAATTATGTAGGCGAAGGATATCACTAAATTTTCGTAGTATTTTGCTTCACAGATCCCACTTAGCAAGCTGTGGCGAGTGTACAATCATTCCATTACCGTCAAAGAGAAGCGTCACTATCGCAACGGATTTGTAAAAGTCGCACGCCCAAAGTCGTTTCGCTCTGCAAGTGGCCACGCATTTTAAGGACCCACATTACCATAACGCGGAAGCAATGAAGACTGATGTTTCTGTTTTTATGACAGTGAATCGGAAACTCGAAACATGAGTCATTGTTCATAGTGGCTGAGTATCAAGACGACGACGCCCATCAAAAATAGCTTAGGATGTTGCCGGTCACCCACGATTATAAAACGGGTCTAAACGACAAAATTTTTGGAATTGGTCGTAAGGTTGTGCTCTCCATCTGGGTACAAAGTTAGTTTCTGCCTCTGTTGACTCGGCTAATGGTTGTAAAATTTAGAAGGCAGAAAAAGACTAGTTTGCGATCTTTTTAAGTTCCAGAACGAGATAAGTACGAGTAGTAAAGACCAAAAAGATGAGGTAAGCATTTTTCATGCAGCCACTGTCTGGTTACCCTAGAATTTTAATGTCGCGCATCAAATAGTCGCTTAGTTCTTCAGTTTGGGTCTAGATCGCTGATTCAGCTGATACCTCAGTCATTCATTGCATGGATGCATATCATCGTGCTACCCAGGACCTTCAGCAGCACTGGGGATGGTTTTGTTGCATGTGTACTTACTTCACACCACGTTGTCTACAACAAATTTTAGGTAGCCTATAACAAATGAACCTGTCACTGTATAGACCTAATTCACCATAAAGTTCTTCGTCTTGAAACGCATCCCCACTGCATGTTTGTTACCTGCAGTTATAAGGTGGGATCACAGAGGTACAGTGTGGAAGAAATTAACCTACACTGAATGTAGACTGCAGTGGTTTAGATGAAACCGCTGGGCACTCTGATTGTGTGGCTTACTTGAATAAATGGTTGTATCTGTTTACTTTGTAAAACATTAAGGCTCCAAGGTCTTTACATTTACAAATAGTTATTAGTAGGGCTCACAGGTCTGAAGTGAACCAACTGAGTAAATATTCAGGACAAATGGCATTTCTATTTCTAGAGGTACTTTCTGCTTGCAACATACTTTTATGGGTTTAAAGTTGTTGATCGATATCCAACCTTAGAACTGTTGTACGCAGTCTACTCCTTTAAGCGTACAGCATCCTTTACGAGCACTTGATAGTGATGTTCGGACACGTTCGTCAAATTTTTAGTTCAACAGTTCGGTCACTGTTTAAACAGTAAAACCGAAATAATACAGAATGAGATGAAAGTTTAGTATAACAAGGTCTATGTTCTTTCACAACGTGCCTTGAAAGTACAAACCGCATCGCCAGGTCGTGTATGATATTGTCTCTTGGTGTTGGTGGTACTTACGTTTCATTTGACGTATCTAACCTTTAGTTTGTCCAAACTATTGGCCCGAATGCTGCCTCAAGAATAAGTTGTGCTCAGATCTCGTATGAGGACTAAGTGTAGGTCACTGTGAATTCCAGCTTATGGTAATTTTTAAGTCGATGGAAGAATTTCATACTTTTAGGTTAGATTATAAATTAAATTATCCGGGCAGTTTGAGTGCATTTTTCTCAGCTGATGGTGGAAGGTATGAGAAGGATCACTTATCACTCTCATCGGATTCTCTGCCTGCTGCATAAGGTGGCGGTTATCTTGTAATAAAAGTTGAAACCTGTAATTCGTAGACAGGACTTACCACGAATGACCGATGTCTACTTTAATCAACTTCCAGAAACACTTTTTGGATATGGATTATCACCGTTCTCGTCCAGACCTGCATGAATACTTCCCCAACTTCTCTTCCATAGCTTTCCGATGGTCATTTTACTTTTTAGTAGACTTAGTGTTTGTCAGGATCTGATTCTCTAAAGACAGATCCACACGAAACAAACGACTGGTTATTTGGAAGAAGATTACTACAGGTGTCTAAGTGCACTGAAACTAGACGGGAAACTTTAGCTCATTTTGTCCAGCATTCTGTCGAGCTAAACTGTCACTCTAGGTATGTGTTCCTTTCAGTTGTTGGTTATTTTGCATGACAAAACCTATCCTCGATGGTGTGCTTGGCTCATAAACCGGACTTGAATTATTTGTTGCCTACTTCGGCTATACGAACTTGACCTCATTATTATCTTCGGACTATCCCTGGGATTTTCGCATTTCAATCAGTGAAGCTATGCAGATATAACATTGTTATCGAGACCGGAATCCTAACTTACATAGCAATGTTATGTGGTCCTTGTTTTTCTTGCTGTGCCACCGGTCGACAACTTGACTTTATACTGATGACACGGTCACTCATGTTGTGGTAATACCTGAATTTGCCACTTTTTCACGGACTAAGTTAATGATATCTAGGCAGAGTTGTCCGAAGAAAAGAAGCCTTTAAGTGACACGCTTTATTCACCATTTATGACAGTGGTCTGTAGATCAAACTGTACCGTACAGCTGTTGAGTCTAACGGAGGTGATCACCGAGGCTTTTGCAAGTGACCTAATTACGACACCGTTTTCGCTTTGCTTGCCCATAAACTAGACTTGTTAGACGTTCAAACACCCCAAACTATTTGGAAAGTGAATTTTCAATAAATTACACCCACCGTTTTGTTGTCGGTGGTAACCTCTGATGTGGAAAAATCCCTCCGTGGGGGTGATTTTTAAAAGGATGGACAGATGTGAATCAATGGTAGTTAATAACAGTTTGTCGGGCCATTTTCAGTAAAACCGTCAAATGCTTATTTCAGAGCCATGTACTTGCTTTTTTTAATCGAAGGGAACAGATAAAGTTCATCTCACGACGTATTCAAGTCCCAACTCTGTCACATTCTCTGTAACTCACCGAAGATTGTGACCAATATATAATAAAGACCCTCTTTGTACCCTGTACACGTCTTTACACATGCTTCAGGTTATACATAGGAATACTGAGGAACAATTCCAGCTAATTTTCACTTGCTCATCTTATCAGATGCCTTCTACTTTACTTTTTTCAGATGCATTGCTTAATGAACTGCATCAAACAAATGTTGAAATACTTAAACGTAACCAGCATTGCCCGGAATTCGGAAGCCGCTCTTCTGACATACGCCAAAAGCCACTAGAAACAGAAATCGATCAGGTTTCCAATCCAGCTTCGGTCATAGTATCCCCGCTTGACAGAAACAACGCAGAACACGTACCCAATGAACGGTTACAATCATTTAGGGATATGCAAGACTGGAATTCAATGTTGGATATGCTGGACCAAGCAGAATATACTAATTTAGTGACAAATGAGGCTTGTGGCTTCAATGGTAAGCATCATCACGCCTGTCGTTTTATTCTTTCCAATTTATCCTCTCAAGTGTTGACGGTTGATTTCAATAAAGCATTGCAATTTACCAGTATATATATGTATGGAAGAGAACGGTCCTCAAATTTCTTTACCTTCCTAAAAAGTGCCAATGTCTCCGTGTGTTGATATTCAAGCCAAAGAGGTTCTACTTGTCCTGCCCAATGCTTTTTTCATAAGTGATTTCGACATTTTCTACGACAGGTTGACGAATGTTTTTCGTTAGTTTACCATTGATAGAGCATGTTTTTCGTGTTTGCGCTACTACTCGTAAAAAAATCACGCCCATCAAGAGACGCTTAATGTGGCACGGAGATTCAGTCTTTAAGTCAGATTATTTGATGAAACTCAGTCCTGGAGTGAAACTCGATGAATACCCACCAGAAACCGTTGGCCGAACCAGATCGGAAATGTGGTCTATAAAGTTGAAGAGCGATTCCGTGAAAGTTGCTCCATTCCGGTACTTCCTAATGGATAAAATCTATTTTGCAGTTGCTGTTACGATCACTCTTCAGTTTCAGGAGAGAAGTCTTATTTAATCAATATTCAAGTAGTGTGGAGAAACATTCTGCCCACCTACTGCCGACATGAAGGTAAGATTCCTGTTGTGGGTACCAAACAGAATTTGTTGGTAGTGTGAGAAGATTTGGGGAGTTTGTCACCTCCTCAGTCATCGCGTTCACAAGTGGCTTTACTGGAGACTCAAACAAACAACACGTGCTCCTTTGCAGTACACACTTCTCTGACTCTGACACTCTGAGGATCCGCTAGGCCTTTGAACTTATCTGATAGTCCTTTCGATTTCTAAACCACTGTCTGTCATGCCCGCGATCTTCCAAGAAGGTCTATGCTTGCTTGCCTAACCAAGCATCTAAACAGAAACTGTCCTTCTGCCCTGTAAGTTTGTCTTGGACAATACGTTGGGGTTGTCGGATAGAATGCTATTCTCACAACGCACGCTCCACTAGGTCTAGTGGCCTACTTAGATTGTTGCGTCAGGCAAGACTTTCACTTTATATTCTCCCTATGTTGTCCTTTTACCAGACATGGGTCCATTCAGATTTGTTGCCTTTCTCCAAGGCGCAATTGCGTTTGCTTCCGTCTTGTTGAATTAGGCACTTGAAAGTTTTGTTTGGGTTCAATAAAATACACTCCACCGCCGCTTTGTTTAAATGTGCGCGGAGGTCTAGGGTCTCCTCGTGGCGATCAAACTGTCAATTGCGCAGTCTGTGCGGAGTGTCTGAGAAGCACCGCGCAGCTGTTTCATCCTTATTGGGAATCCCTTTTAGTAGTCTGAACAGGTCAGTTCGGACCGGCTACACTTCGTCACTGCGGAGGAGTGGAAGCTGTAGACGGGTTTTACTATACATAGAAAAATGTGAAAAAGACCGGTTTGTCGTTAAAATCGTAAAAACAAATGGTAATTTGTCAAACTATGAATCACACTGGTGACCAGTTTTTGTTACCAAGATATTTTCGGGAAACCTCCAAAATGCCAAAAATAGTTTGTTGGGTGTTNTACTGCCATAGCATGCACAATTCGCTCGTCTGATGGACTATTGCCTGAAAATTCAATTGAACTCTTCGATACACTGTAGGTGCTAGAAAGCCATAGGAGCGATTCCAGAACTTGCAGTCATGCATCGATGAATCATGAATCAGTTTTGTTTTTACGGAGGAAGAATGATGCGCTGACTAATTGAAACGCTATATATCTGTCATTGTGTGGAAAAAGGAAATGCTTTTTAGCGTCGTTAATTTTTAAACATGAGGAGACATCTGAAATATTTCATTCTTGAATACATCACCGAACCAAAAAGGGATCGCGAAATCAATATATGGCCACTTCATTTCTCACATGTGTCAACAGTAGTGCATCCGAGTTAATGTGCTGTAAGATGTTCACTGATTTCTCGAAGTAAAATGTATACAGATTGCTTGGATTTCCAGAGCTCGACAATAAATACCTTCATTCTCGAAATACGACTCCCGTCTTACTGACTGATCCTTGTCCTCCACAGGCTACTTCAAAAAGTTGCCACTGAAAGCACCATTTTCCTCTATACGGAATTTTGCATCTATACCCTATGGCTGCCCCCATTTTGGGCACCAAGTCTGTATTTTGGAAATTGAGGACCGAATTCAGCGAAGTCCGTCTTGTTGATTGTGATGTGACTCACTAGGTGGATGCAGTCGATGAGCATGTTGATATCCGATTCTGCGGGCACGGCCGAAGCCTGTCGACCCAATGATTTTTATGAGCAGACCGGGCATAGAACACGGGTACACGCCTAAAAATGCCATCCCCAATATTCTGAGACGATAGGAAAGGTTCATTTTTCGTTCTCTTCTGCAGCCAAGCCAACGGATCAGGACACCAAAATTCGTCACGCTGAAGGAGACTCTATTCCAACACTGTGTTCCTAGGCCGTCAGCCAGCACTGTCATAACAGAACACCTCTTGAGAGGAAAGTTCACAAAAATGGGAAAACTTCCAAATGAGCCTAATCTGACATGCTCTATGGATTAAATAAACTTTGAATACCATAGTTGTTAACTACGACGTTTCAAGATCAAGAGCAAAATTTAAGTGAAAAGTTAAGTAAAACCTGTTTCAACCAGTAATGAAGCTAAGCTCAGGGTTTGCACACCAGAAGAGTACACTGTTTAGAGGAAGTGATATAAAGCGATTTTTTACTCTCCTCCGTGCATGAATTTGAGAGGATAAAAGGTATTCAAAAGCTGGAGGACCTTTATTGCAACACGGATAGAGGCGACAAATATTATTTTGATATTATCGGTAAAATTAGAAAGCGAAATGCTTGGGAGTGTTCATCCTTGATCCCTGCTGTACGGGGCAAGCGAAAAAAGCCGAATGGTGAAATAAAACTCCAAAAGCGGTTGCAAATGTCGAAAGCTGACATAAGAAGCGCAGATAGTAGGTTGCCTTTGCTGCTGGATAACGCCGTAAGTCACATGCTCCCCGGCCAGCTTTTAGTGTCGTCACTTAACAACCCACTGACTATGTAGCTGAGTTGGTTTCAAAACACCACCGTAAAAAGTTCTTCCTGACCATTATCAACGAATAAAAAGTTGCGTGAGGTGGTGATCTCGAATTAATTCAGATCAACTGCTGGCTCCGTACATCCTTACACCTTTTGGGTGGCTTGGACACTTGGTAGGCTACTTCATGTCATAGACCTTAACGGTCTTCGTTTTCAGCGCTCATGTTCAAAGTCACGAGCTGTGATCCTAAGGCACCTAAAGAGGGAAGTTCAAAGTCCTAATAAGTGTCTTCGAAAGTTGCGATAACGGCATGTCAGAAAGTGTTAATCTCACCATCAATTTGAGGAAGAGTCAACTCAGTTAGCAAAAGTACTCAGAGACGAACGGTTCCTGCCAACTTAGTCAAAAAATACTCTTGTACATTACGTGATTTTTCATTCACTCAAAACTATCCCCTTTTGTATATTTTGAAAAGTAAGATCTATTCCGGTTGTGAAAGCTTAGTCTAGTTCAGAATACTGGTTTGTCCGAAGGTCTAGTTCGTTATGACAGCATACTCTATTGTCGCCAATTTTTCCCAAAACGAACGATCTCGTTCGAATTCGAGTGAGCTGTGGATAACTTGAAATGTCTGTTGTATTGTGGAAGATGTTCCAGTTGTGCGCTACATACGTTTCAGTTATTCTCCACAGGTTTTCGGCGCAAGTCAACCGTTTTTAAGCAACTTAACCCATACATATGAATGCATGGACCAAATAAGATATATACTTGCTCGAGGTATTTCCCGATTATACAAACCTCAAATGGCACTGACACAACAAATGAATTCTGTCCGAGACAACCAAAGCGATAAAATGGCGATAAGATACCATTCAAATCTATCAATGAGGCTGAATTCTATTCTCAAGTAAACAAACAACCCTACTTTCTTTGCAAACTGCGACAGCAGGTCCCAATGGAAAGGTATCCAAATCGAAGTCATTCTGCTTTGTAAATGCGTGCACCAAGTAATGGTTTCAAGAAGCATGATGTTCAGTTCACTTTTTTTGCATCAAGTATAAGACGCTCAACCGAGGCTTCGTCTTCAAGCTTCGGCAAATTTTTCATAGCAAACGTTTCATATTTACTCGTCTTGTACAAAAACACCATTTTCTGTCATTTTTAATTCAGAACATTCAAAATTCATTGGTAGCGTACTAGGAAAGGCACAGTTCATTATTTTTTGAGAACATTCATTTCCTGTCAATAATTGCCACTGTGGACTGACCCGAGTAACTCATTTAAGGATTCTTTGAACATTAGAACAAACTTGTCTTGTCTAGACGGTCTTCCTCACGTGCTGAACCCCCCAAACTTTAGTGTTTCCCCATTCGTGCAAAAGACAGCACCACTTCCCAATCAGACGGCTTTCAAATGCTGACAGTTTAAAGGCGATGCCTTAAGGCCCGATTCGGAGAAGATAAGTGCTCAGAAATTACATAATACTTCTAACTCGCTTTGGAAACCTTGGCGCTCACGATGTCCTCCAAAATAGTTGTGCTGTTACAAAAAGGTAAGTAACCGTACGGCAACTTCGTGCACTGTGATTCACCCACTTCGCCAAATTTAAATCTCCCTCACAGCGATGACTCCTCAGTGGTCGAAATCGTTGCTTACTTCTGGGCTTACTGATTAGATTAACGAAAAACATGGTGGGCGAGTGGGTGAAACCATGATTTCGGAACCCAATCGCGACTATGGTTGATGAAATTTTCGATTGGACCTGAAAGGACCACATCCAACCACTTGGGAACCATCATTAACTTTTAAACGAAAGATGCAATTGTCAATCGGGTTGTGCGGCTTTCCGATGAATCTTGTAAGCTATTGGCTGAAGCTATTTAAAGTGCTGTGATCTTTTGCCCTATTAGGAAAATTTAACGATCAAAGCTCAACTTTGGTTACTCTGAGCTAATAGTTCTCGGTCGTTGTGAAGCCAGATGCAGAGGACTTAAATTATTAGATACTGTTCAAATTTTCAGATTATAACAAACCAAAGCTATCCAGTTTGTTCGGCCCAAATTTTCAATATTTTGAAATCCGTGACAGTTTATGAGGACACGAAGCCTAGCTATGGATCGAACCCCACTGCTCGTTTCAACCGTGATCGACCTGAACAAGCTTGTGATTTTTTAAAAATTAGTTGTGCATAACTTCATACTCACTGAGTGTTGCGTTATGAACAACGAAGTTGACCCGAATTCAAATCGGAGCGGAAATTCGTGTTTCAAAAATGCTACTTATTCATATCAGGGATTAAGACGGTCGATGCTCATCCGTCCTTTTTAAATCAAATAAGTACTTGCATGCCTAACCTTCTAAACTTAGGTCAGGTTTTCTACTAAATACAGCCATAATAAACAGTCATTCTATGCCAAGCGCAGACCAATCTTGGGAAAGCTACAGCTGGCGTCTTCAGGTAGATTTATGTGAGATATCCCATCGCAGTCAACTCCATAGATGGCCTGCGGTTTGTTATGCCCTAGATAAGCCGAAAGCCGAAATATTCACTTCAACTACACACTGACCGCACCGTTTACGGTCCCCTGACTAATGGTGAAACCATACAGAGAAAGAAAACTTCAAATGTGGCGGTGGACAGATGTTCAGATCTAGAAAACAGTATGGAAAAGCTTAGTCTCACTGAATTACGACACAAAAACATCCTTTTTTGCTAATTCGATATGAAAACCTCCTATCCCGAGAGGGTTAGTTGTCAACCAAGACCACTGTAAACAGAGCGCCTCAAGTAGAACATAAGCTTAAAGGAAACTCCAGGACTGTGTCTACCTGGTGATCCCCAAGAAGGGAGAAACCGGTCGGGGAGATTCCAGCATTCTTATGAGTAGTGTGTTACGTCTGGGGAATGGAATCACTTTTTATGCGTCTTAACATCAAACTACTTCTGCCAATGAAGATTACTGTACTTGCGAGCAAGCTCGTAGAGAATCGATCGATCTCTTTGATGCCAATTTTCTAAAATGTTTGACGGATAAAACGGTCAATTTTGAACTGAAGACGAAAGCACAACCGGCTTCTGACTAATAGGTCACTTGGGTGAAACGACGGCAAACTAAACAGCAAGAACAATATCATTGTTGGTTATCCTCGAACTATACTGGATAACATCTCAGTATTACTCATTCTGAATAAACCTGGGATTCTGGTGCACCAATTTACCACCATTTTATGACTCTTCAAGATCCATTAATGAATGGTTCAGAGGTACCTCTCCCTATGTGCGTTGCGATGCGCGGTACCTAAGCAGAGATCGCCAAACTTTTTTTCCAGGAACCTCATAGTCGACTGACATGTTTTCGTGGATTTAAACTCGTTAGGAAGTGAAGTGACGAAATTGGCGCTACTGATTGGTGTTAGTTGATGTGAACATATTTGGATGTGGGATATTCGAACAACGGGATGGGATCGCCAATATCAAAGAGCAACAACTAGACCTTTTGCTGTGTGTATCGTGTATGTTACAGTAACCTTAAAAGTTGGTAGAATAGTACCAGCCTTTTTTCTACAAAAAAATTCTTCAACGCGTTTTTTTACAACTTGGTGTGCGCTACGTCATGGACGCCAACTGAGTAAGAAAGGTGTCAAACAGTTGTTTTTTTTTCAAATAATTAGTGTGGAATGATTGCCACAAACCCGCTGGCAGAAAAGAATAGGTTTCTGCTGGTTTGGAGCGTAGTCCTAGGACTTCGAGACGATCCATGTAAGTTAAGCCGCCATAATGTGACGTTTATTGACCACGTGGTACCCCGCTGAGTTCTCAGTTCCAGAAGTTTCATCCTGCATACCTCAGATGCCAAGCAGCTCTTTCTCTTATCCGTACGAGGAGGCTTCTGTGTTATTTAGGGGTCGAAGCAGTCAAAGTTGTTCCCAGGTGGTGTGAGTATAGATAGCATTCTTGTAAATGAGGTGAAATTCCAAGCAGTTGGCAAGTACACCCTAGTTTCAAAGCACCTAAAGCACTGTTTTTTTTTCGGGGAGTACTGCCATCCTTAAAGATTTTGTGATCTCGGTAAACTGCCCATAATCAAATCAAACATTTTTTCGGAGATGGCTGCGCCATTTTACCTCTGTTTACATCATTTTGATATTTTAAAAATCGTCGTAGCCGATTGGCATTCGATTTTCCATGTTACGAATCGGGTGTTAAACCCTGAGATTGGAAATTCTGTTAGTACTTCTTTCGGTTTTCAAAAGTACCCTCAACTGAACCCAAAACATGGAGAGGCCAAGAGTTCGCAGATGTGGCCCTCCTCATTAGCTCTCTCCACAGCCATTCAGTTGTTCAGAGACCACTGTTTTGACCGCTGACTTTTTCGAATGACGCTATCATATCGTCACCTCCGCTAATTACGCCTTTCCACCTTCCCGAAAATCGTTCATTCGAAACGGGGATATGCTTTTGAGGTATTTTAGGTTTCTCCACAACTGCCGGTAGCAATCTCTTGTTGTTACACAACCGGCCTTAGGGATATGCTTTTCTTGGGTACTTTCGGAGCTCCGAAGAAGCGCTAAACGTCTCTATTTTGCGCTCACTTCTCCTTCTATTCTTCACTGGCGATCATTTAGGGGCCCTTGAACCATCACCCGTTGGTTTTGTGAAAAATGTTTTCACATAAAACGTATCTTTTGTGTAATCATTGGGGCAGACCACAAAATTAAAAGCGTATCTTTTCGCGAACAATCGTTTCGTTATTCCGTTATTGTACGATAAGATTCCAAAACAAAAAATAAAGTTGTCGTTTGTTTTGGATCAAAGTTGATGTTCCACTCTCCTACTATATGATGACAACTTATATCATCCTGGATGAATTTCCATAGAGTTTGCTAAATAACTTTCTACACTTGGCTCCAGATCTGGACTTACTTTCGACCGCTTTTGGCATTTCCGCTTACAAAGTACTGGGAAATCTTCAAAAGGCTGATCAATAGTGGTCATCAAAAAGTTTCTTCTATTAAAAGACGCCTCATGGGGCAATTAGAAAATAATTCTTAGGGACAGTGCAGCCTATCGATGAAATCTTACTAGGGTACCATCGGTCATGTACTTCGAAAGATTTTAGAGCCATTTTACGACAATTAACCTTCCTTCATTTTCTAAACTTACCAGGTTCTGCTGCCCAGGCGTCCATCCAATCAGGTTCAGTCGGCGGAAATCAAGCGTAAGTTATCCATTCGTCACCTGCTGTTAAGACTTCTACACATGCTAGCTCCTGTCATTAGAACCAGATGAGAACTTCCCTGTAACGTCTTTAGTTTTACGTTCGAAAAATCAAAAACATATGCACGGGAAGTTATTTCAACCTGATTTAACCTTCACATTTACAAATAAATGCAAACCACTGTATGATTCCGCATGACCGGACCAATTCGCCATTCTGTTTCCCGATAGCTGAAATTTTTTGCGCAATTTTGTCTGAACATTTTTCCACTCTTTTCATTGGGCTCGCTAGCGGTCTCCTTTCTGTCGAGACTTAGCAGTAATCAGTTCGGATAGAATTGGAATACTTACCACAATTCAGCTTGCTAAGATGGGTGCAGATTCACTTTCGGGGATGTAAACACTTCTTTGTTACCCTGCATGAAGTGATTATAATCGACTGTCACAATAAGGATGACTATCGGTAAGTAGGTAACTATCGGCATCCATGTGGTCTGGCTGTAGCATGAGTATTTTGCGTCAGTGCAGCTATTTAGGATTTGAAAGGCAGGCAACAGGTCTCTGAGTAACTCCCTGTAGGTAGCCAAGTAAATATTAATGGTTGCTAGTTGTCCGACGTCCCGCTTGGGCTACGGCTTATACGCCTGATGGACGATCTGATATAGGTTGAGCGTTGCCTACAGTTCATCAGCGTGAGTCTGAGGTAAGATCTGGCATTTCAAAATGCAGTGTTGGTAGCTTTGGATGCCATGGATCATGTTCCATTTGGACTCCTAACTTTCTCTTCTCGGTAATGTTATGAGCACCATATGGGCCGGGGTTTCTGGACTTAGCTTGGAATGGCTTATGAGAGACCGTTGGGACTCCCCGTCAAAAGGCAATTAGCTGTCTGTCGACAAATCTAGTCTGACCTAAGGTTGACCTGGAGGAATATCTTAGTCCTACAAGGGGGGAAATCGATCGGATACTGTTTTCATCATCTAACATCCTACATGGAAAGAAGTAGTTTGTAAACGTCAAATGCTCTGATGCTCTCCACAGAGTTTTGATTACTATCACGTGAGTCCATTAACATAAACATGTATTGTGTCGTTCTGCGTGTAACATTAGATCCAGCCTAGGATGGTCTATTACGACGGTCAACGCATCAGGTTACTTCGAGATGAAATCCATTGTAAGCTGAAAATTGAGAAGATACTGATATGCGTTGTAACATTGGTAATTCAGTCTGAGAACTTCACTTAGCTGGAATTGTACTATAGCCATTTTGTCTGCTGATCGAATGTCGAAGACTAAATTTTATTCTTCAGTCTATGCCAGTTGCATAGCCGAAAACAAAACACCAGACCAGTAGGTTTCACGTAAATAGACAGGCGTTGCTGTGATGGTGGTACAGTTTCTAGACTATTTGTGTTGGCGGAAAATCTAAGTTTCTGTCACAACATTGTAGAATGACACTTGTGAACAAACCAATGACCATCGAAACAGCGGTTTGGAAGACTTCCCACTTTAGCCGCAGGTCCTACAATCGAAGAATGTTGGGTGAAATGAATTCTCCAGTGACTTCTGAACGTGTTGTGCACTACAACAATGGTTCACTTTTTGCAGAACTCAGATTTGTCTATCTGTTGGACTCACCCTACATGGTGAAGAGCTTGAGCCGTATCCCGGTTTGCCGGGTGCCCTCAGGTTCTATTCCGGTTATATCGAATGAAGGGTTTTTCATAGATTTTATTTGCGGTCAACAGTGCGAGACCTTCATACTCCCTCATATGGTCTACACAGCTTAATTGTGTGGTCTTATGATTTTGGGGCGTTGCTATTTATACTTCCGATGTCAATTCAATTCCAGCTTCTGGATGTTGAGAACTAAGCAACAAAGATAAGGGAGAAAGTTTCTTTGTTTATTATCTTCATATGCATGGAAAACAGAGTCGTTGAGTTTGTTTTATATTTTGAATAACACTGAAAAGTCATTTCAGCCTGGCATCAAATTGTGCGAATTTCTGACTACTTGAGGTTACCGGAGGGGTCGTATTTGTTGTGGCTAGCGTGATCATAAGTGCTTTTTAGGTCATCCTGTACAAAACACTCGATTCCCCCAGTGGGCGATTTCTAGGCCAAAACTCCATAGCTCCCCGAGCAACTAGTTTCTCGATATTTTCACCACACTAATGTAAATGCACTGCAGTAAATTGACACTGGACTGCAAAATCACGTGATTCGGGGAACCATGTTACAATATCACTCAGAAAGAAACTGATTCAAAGGGACCGACATCGTTGTTCAACCAAGTTACCTAATGGTGTTTCACTCCATACGATTTACCTTAACTCATAGGAACTTTTCACTTCTGCTGTGTCCCCTATATGATTTGGTCAGTCCCAAAGGTTTCGTTTAGAAACGTTTAATATGGAGCAAGTGTGCACGACCTACTTCTAATCAGCACTGGAAAGAATGCAGATTCTTGTGGAGGTTTTACGTGTTGTCAATTACTATTTTTGGTTCCTCAGAGTGAACGACCACCTCAAATTTCGTCAAACGTGTGAAGCGGATGATTCAAAACAACAACACCAAGAGGGCGAACAGTCAGAAGATACGAAAGTAGCCGCGGCAAAAGCGGCCCAACAACTGGACGATCTGTTGTTTTCGCTGGGTCAGTTCAAAGTGAGTGCATCCTTGTCACGCTTAGATTATGGTATCGAGCGACCAAACAAAGAGGGACATAGGGTTGACGGAAACTCGGGGACTGCGCCTACCTGATGAGCCCCAAGAAGGGCGGAACCGGTCGTGGGCTGTCGAAAAGTTTTCAGCAACCTTGTGAGTAGTTTCCTTTGTGAAAATCGGGACAGAAATCAACACGGAGAGAAAGCACCACATGTTATGGATTTTCCATTCTACTAGAGCGTACGCAATTCGAAGGCGACTTCTCATTAAATATTGCCTGACGAGGAGGGCTATTGTGACCTCTCTAGGGAATGGAGTACAATGTGTTATAGGCTATCCGTTTTTGCGTTATTCGGTGATCTGTTGACTATGCCTCTGTTCCAGTGAGCCTGCTTTGGTGAACTGCACTCAGACATACATTTCCACTTGGTAGGCCTACCTATCGCTCAGAGAGAACGCCCAAAGAAAATAAACGGGTCACTTGTTAACGCATGGATTGAGTGAACTAATCCCCGCATCATCTGTCGTTCCATTCGCAACGTGCCGAACAGTGTGGAAGGTGCTTAGTCACTTTGTCTGTGGTTGTAATCTATGGACGTTTATGTCCTCAAGAAAACGGATGGAAGCCAGATTTATCCAAAATAACCCGAACAAAAACATAGTTGGTATGCCAAGTTCATTCATACCATACAGTGATGAGTAAAATCTGAAATTTTATAAATTCCAACTGCATCGATGGTTCGATTTTTTAACGCATTTGCATAAACAACCTTGTCTGATCATGCGGGAGGCTGATTTGAAGTTCAGGTCATCAATACTTGGTCCAAAATTGACCAGTCTCGTTTCAGACAAATTCATCGATCGTTATGTGATCGTATGCTCAGACGTGCACGTACGGGCCCAAATATTTCTATCGGAGCTGCATCGCCGAGTGCTAGGTTTCAATCATACACAGCCTACCCGTGTTGCCAATTCGTCGTCCTAGAATGACTTATCAACTTCATAAAATGCCGTTCTATCAGGGTCGATTATTCATGTTTTGAGCGCGGACGTGCTTCTGTATCTTTTTTGAATGATCGAGCCAGCTCACCTCCACTGTCTTTGCAACTTGTTCCAGCGAAACAAATCATGTTCTAACCATACTGCGAGAAAAGCTGAGAGGGCAAAAGTCAACTCAGGTGTGCTGTTGATAGAGTCCTTGTGGCGTTGCAGCTCCGGTCTGATTTCTTTTAATAATCCCCCACAAAAGACTTGTTGGCCGAGTATAGGCTACTGAGCACTAATCATCGCACAAAAAGCTGTTCGTCAAATGACAGTATCGTTGTGACAGCATGTGCGCAACTAGCGACCGCACACCAGTTCGGGTAGTAGACTAGGTTACATGTCAGAAAAAGATCAGTGGTATAGGTAAACTATATTGGTCCTTCTGGGACCCTATCTGAGCGACAGAAGCCATTCACGCTTCTCAGGTGAGCATCCTCATTAGTTATGTTTTGACAGTTTAAGTCCTTGTGAGAAAAAATAAGTCTGAAATGACCTAACGACGAAATAAACAGCCGCGGTTAAAATGGCAATTATGTGTTACCAGTATGGACTCTTTTTCGTCGTGCAATTCTCGATCTGCACTGTCTGAGATTATCCAACCTACCTGACGTTTTGGGGTATATCTTCAAAAAAGGGGTATAAGGAACCCAGTGTTAAATTAGTCATTATCACTTTGTAAGATCTCAAACACAAGGTATTCTTCTCATACTTACACGACATTGGACTGCCTCAACAAGTTGATCCAAGCAGGTTCCTGCATGGTATCCTATTTGCTCTTCAGTTTGTACATGCCTTAACCGGACTAGAGTCAACATATTACATGCAAATAGTCAAGCATGCTAAAGGTCAGCAGATATGAAGTGTATTTTGAGGGATTGTCTGACTGGACTGTCTTCAGCGATTGTTTGTATAAACTCCGTTTCCGCTCCAGCATTTGTTCCACTCTTCACGTGATTTTCATACACAGTTGATACTGTGCTGACCTGAATGAGTCATCACATTGAGTGTGACTTCTGTATGAGGATTTTCACTTGTTTATCGTCCTGCCTATCATCCTGCTTTATTTAGGGCACGCGCGTTTTTCTCGGCCCTGCTTGCTGAACCAGCTCTTTGTCGAGTGTTTACTGATATCACACCTGTAATACACTTGTCTGAATGCCGCTCAACGGACATCTAGCTGTTCAGTTTGTCTTTCTATCAATTTATCATATGTGGTATTGCACAGTTATGTGATATGAACATCGTCAGAATACGTCGTAATTAATACTAGTATCAATAAGATCACTAAATTGCAGGAGTGATTTCTTGTCTTAATTTTAATCGAGTATGCGTCGCACATAGTGAACCGCAAGCGTTCTCCTAGTGATGTGCTATATGACCGTTTAACGGATCAGCCTCTACCTGATAGAAGTCCTGAGAATCCAGCGAAAGCTGTTTTCCTCCCCATTCAGCCACATATAGTGCTCGGACATCGTTGCTGTTGGACTGTCTTGAAAGAACATCCCCTAATTACTTTTCCGAGTTCTAGCACCCTTTTTGGTACGAGTAGAGTTTCTATATTCGCAACCTACTTCCGTGGTTAACCGAACACTGCAAATCTGCTGAAACCCGGGAAATGTCACCGTCAGCTTATCTTTTTTTGCACTGAGTATTTAGTCAAATACCGTAAATCAGAGGTCCCAAACATTTTCAGTCACGTGACGGTTTACTATTTGAACAGAAATGTGTGAGCCGAATGAGCCGTTGGGCCAAACTATTCGGTGAAACCTATTCGTCACGTAGCAATCAACGTTGACCAGCCGTCTTCTTGGCACGCTCTGCAGGCCATGTCACGCCCTACACTGTTTCCTATCGTTAATTAAAGAACAAGCAAAGTTGAAAAGATTTATACCAATCTACGTCTAATTTATTGATCGGGCATTAAATTAAAACGCGTACAACGTTCTCCCCTCTTGAGTGACCCTCTGTGGGAACATATTTTAACCATATTGGCATTGTGAAGTTGACTCATGTATTTGCTCACACTTCATGTCCTAAGGGGTAAACAGCTTCACTATCAGAGCTCTCCTTAGGCACAGTAACGTATTAAATTTAGTTCAGACTATGCCAAACCATGACATAAATTCGCCAGAGTTGGTAGGATAAAATCTGCTAATCAAAGCTCAGGGACAATCTTTATGAGTGCACTGATGAAGCCGCACTCACTGAAGATGAATTGTTTGTAATTAGCTGACCCAGCTTGATGAGCACGATGGTCAGAACCAAGTCTTTGATGGAAAGCCTCAAAATAGCGACGATGGCATATGTGCCATTGGACGAATTTTATCATGGAATGACTGTTTTCACTACAGCAAATGTATTCAACATTTCCTTCGCAAAATGCGTCACCGGCCTTCCTCACCACTCCCGTATTTTCAAAATGCTGGGATTTCTAGCTGCGTCAGATACTTGTGACTGTTTTCTCCCATGTTTAGTGTTCTTTGCGCAGTTGTAAACAGGCTTATATGTGAACAGGGACTGAGTCGTCCTCGAATTCATTTGTGAGCTCCTTGGTACTATCCTAGGTCAGTCATATGTGTGAACTGCACAACCACCAGTAATTTCGTGTTGTCAGGTGGTGCTGTCAACCACCTGTAGTATGCAGCTTCTGCTGACGTCCCCCATCTTTTTTCTCTAGTGTTTTAACTCCCCTACTGCTTCATCAAGTGATTGCTCTTACCTAGATACCAGCTGTGAGCACGCCAGTCTTGCACTCAAGGAAATCCTCAATAGCATGTGATCGCTCACATCCACCGCCTAGTGTCTGCCTTTCAGACTTCGAACTGCACAACACCAGTAATTTCGTGTTGTCAGGTGGTGCTGTCAACCACCTGTAGTATGCAGCTTCTGCTGACGTCCCCCATCTTTTTTCTCTAGTGTTTTAACTCCCCTACTGCTTCATCAAGTGATTGCTCTTACCTAGATACCAGCTGTGAGCACGCCAGTCTTGCACTCAAGGAAATCCTCAATAGCATGTGATCGCTCACATCCACCGCCTAGTGTCTGCCTTTCAGACTTCGCTTTCTCATGACGATCTTTAATGTTCGGACCTTGAGACAAATGGGTCAACAAGCTGCCTTAGTGCTTACTCTGGATACTTGATCGACAAAATGGTTTGTGTGAAACGTGATTCGCATGTCACGTGATTGTGTTCATCCTGTATCGGAAACCACATTACCAGTCGAAGCAGAAGGCCCGTACCTAATAGGTTGGCGTTTTAGTCCCACAGTTCACTGGTTGCATACTCAGAAAACCTTTGTTAGGCACCAATAATAATTCCTTTTGTAGAAATCATCCCACCGCTCAAGCAATCGGAAAAGCTATAAACCGTACAACAAATAACCGTTCTAGAGTGGAAATCATTCGACCCTGGAGGAAAGAGCAGAGCTTTCTATAACTTCATTAGCACGTTTTTGTTCCTTGCTTCGAGTAAGTTGAGCAACTTGCAACCTACCTATTCTTGAGAACCCGTTTCTTCGCTCAACAAACTTTCGATTTTGAATGGATCTCGATATAACCAGGATAGACTACAGACGACTGAACAACTGTGAACAGTTCCGGTAGAATTAACGTCTGAAACAACACAACTACTCATTCGGTTGATATCAACTGACCAGAAGTCAACGGCGGTTTTAGCATTTTTAAGGGCTCGTCTGATAGATGTGTTCTTACCAAGGCAAACTTATTCTTATTTCAAAGTGGATGAATAAAACGAAGCCCGATGTTATGCTCTCGGGGAATTTTCCTTGGTGCCGTAATTATTAAGGTGACAATAATTCGATATCATGATCATTAGCGCGACGAAATCCTGAAATCACCTAAGGGCTGAGCATTCTGTTGAAAACCGGTTGTAAGCAGATGAGTCGTCTGAAAACCTGGTTGAATTGTGCCCTAACACCAGATGGCCCATACTCCTGGCAATTAACTCCTGTCTTGAATTTCAAACCCTTTTCCGCCCTCATTTTTCAACCGTTCGATTTGTCTGTTTCTCTTCCACACAATATAAGTGATCGTTTCTATAGCCATAAATTCTGTCCTTCAGTGAAACGTGAGCATATGCTGAGAATTCCCTTAAAATTTTCACCTCCTCGACCATTTATTTGTGGCTCCTGTTAGGTTTGAGGCAGTCCTTCTACACAGGATGTGTGATCCCTACGTTGTCTATTGACAGCTTTCGTAATCTTAGTTTCACCGTACTGTTCGGAGATAAAATCGGCCATACACATTTTTATTAGCCCGACTGTGCTGTTCTGTTTTTGCACGCAAGGTAGCGCAATCCCCTGAAATTTTTACCCTAAGGAGAAGTGGAAAAAAGCTGGGGTATTGGACAGAAACCTATTGTTGACGTGTTCAATCAGCCCTTTTGAACGAGACATCTCTGAAGGAATCGCATATGCAGTTGTTCTTCATTGGGAAGACTACCAACCAGTGCTCTTTTCTGGGAGGTTTTTGCTACTGAAACATGCTTGAAGAAACCAGCGACCTTTCTTGAGAAGTGATCTCTTTGGATAAATGCAAGCTAATCTTTTTACATACACTTTTTGGACCTAGCGGATTTTGTTAGCCTGATCACGTGCGTTTTATGTCAGTCTACCTGCCTCCTTGAGGAGTTTTCTCGTATAACCACATGCAGGTCGAAAACGAGCTAGAGGAGGTAAAACAATGAATTGATGACAAAATAAAGGATTCATTATCAATAAACGGCTTCAATAATCACTGCTATCCTTTTACTGGCGACTTCAAGACAGGGCACCTCATTATTTAAACACACTGGCAAGCACGACATGGTGGAGCGCTCAATGGCGCGCATGCATCGAAGATGATGTCTGTGATGCATAGCCTTACCTCTGGGTTTCCACGGCGGGAAATTCACAGTCACTTGTGAATTCACGCGTCGACTTCCAGTACGTAGCTGCCCACTTCTATGTTCCGGGCGATTGGCGAAGGAAACTGTGGCAGCCGTACCAGATGCACATGATATACGCGGTTTACTCGTTTTGATGACACTGAGAGCAAACGAAACAAGAGACAAATTTAGCAGAACGCTTTTGATGGCATCTTGTACCGGTAGCCTTCAGCAAGGTTCTACTTGTTCCTCACGGATAAATCACTCATAAGGACTGCGTGCTTGTTCAGCACTCCGTACTCGGAGGAAGTAACCGTCAGTATCTCACTCTCGATCAAGAAAAATAGAAACCTAAAGATATTTGCTTCTCGCCTGCTTATGAAATGATTCTCACATCTCTCAATAAGGCTGTGTAGTCTCTTTCTTCCACCGCTATGTACACGAAGCATGGGACACACGAGAAAGGGTCGGTTTGTATTTCAGTGAAGTAGGGCGAAAAACTGCTCAAATGACGACCATCACCATTCCTCTGTGGTTCCGTTCAAATCACAAATCAACTTGGTCATTTCAACGAATATTTGATCAGAAAAGGCTCACCATTTCAATATATTATCAGCCACTGATCAACTGACGCATTTCATCCAGAAATATCAGGAATTTAGAATGGACCAAGCAGTTGGAGAGGTATTTACCTGTGGCTCATTCCAGTATAGATTCACCCATCCGCCCTAGTGGAAAACTCTCAACTTCGTAATCTATGCTGAAACAGTAGAAATTTTATTTGTACCTACGCGGCGTCTAGCCCTGTGTAGTGAAACGCAATTTCAAAACTTGTAATCTTGATGCAGCTGGGTGTGTGTCCTCCCATATGCAGTCAGGCCACAGCCAAGTCATTGTGTTTCGCAATGTTGTGCGCGGAGGTGCATGTCAACGTGTGCACCCTCCTTGTTACGCATGCGCCCGGATGTCTACGTCTATGTAAATCCACCACATGTCTGCTAATTGCAACTGGAATTTGCTACAGCCGGCATATGTAGCCTGGGGAGTTGCTGATCAGGTGTGCTGCAAATGGCTAACGGTGCATACTACCAACCGCTAGTCCAAGCGACAACCGCCTAAGCTGTTCCCGATTTTCGGACAGACAAAACAAACCCGCAGCACGTTTAGGGCAGTTTTTCATTGAGACATTGACTGCGTGGTGGTATGTGAGCCGTTGGTGAGCCTGTTGCGTTGTTTCACCAACTTTTTAAAATTTATCTCGAAACAACTACTGAACAACGAAGGCGTCTTATTTTCGACTGTTGGAAGTTGCCTGTGTCTGCAGTTGTGAAAATGATTCTTTCAGTGCGGGTTTACCAAAAGGGTCTTTGTGTATACTTTTCGGTGATCAGTGGTTTTCGTCTGATTTGCCGTGTTTGGTCTTTGTCTCCTTTCTCGCTTGCCTTTAGAACGTAATCGTAATGCGCTTTCTTGAAGAAACTACTCGTAGGTTTTTCTGGAAACTCTTCAGCTGGTCACGGCTAGCCTCGCCTTTCCTGGGGCTCATGAAGCAAGCACAATCCCTGAGTTTTCATCGACCTTGCTTGAACCCACATTGTATGGTTTGAGCTCTTTTGTAGGTGCTCGGATGCCAATGAATCCGCGCACGTATTCAACGCACAGCAATAATGGGATACTCTTGGATGAAATACGCTAAACACAAACATGTAATTTCGTTTATCAATACAGCTGGTCATTCGGTGATTTGTGGCGAGACCAACAGTGACCATTTTGCGCCCTCATAGTCAGCGAAACTTGAACCATCATAGGATACGACTGTATAGTTAATCGGGTCTCATCTAGTTGTGTATAATAAATTCTGTAAATGTCTTAGAAGTTCATTGGAATTTCGATGACTGTTGCCATTCTACAAAGCCCCGTAGGGTTATTCGTGAAATAATCAAACCTAAGCTCGCAGTCGTTATCGTCCGCTTATGACAAGGGAATTTCGCCGTCACTTTTATCTCTGATGGTTTGTCTAATGTAATATCTACAGTGCCAACAAAGGTTTCTCATCTTCGGTCGCCCGAAATGAATCGAATCTTGTCGGGGTGGAAACCCCTATTCGATGTTTCTGATAAACTATCAGTTTGATAAAAGTAAAGAAGATTACGGCTGTATAATCGCACAATGTAGTTCGATGGCGATGACTCATACGAACGAAAGCGGAGCGCCTCATTACTTATTGTTTAGTCGCATGTGGAATTATTAAACGGTGGGCCATCCAACAAGAAGTATTACTGTTTAAACTGTACTGACGAAGACCATAAAGGACGAGAGGTGCGGCTGGATTCACTTGAGTCTCCCAGCCAAACCAAATTTGTACGCAGATGAGTGATGGCGTGCTGTACTTTACTGCACTTTAACTCCAAAGACCTGGTCGCCTCCATTACTGTTAGCTCATTTTTTTCCAAAAACGCTGTCTCAAATGACCTAGGTTCATTAATTTGGATTTAACCGATTCAGTCTCATTCGCTAGTTGGTTGCACTCACGACAATACTGTTTTGGACTCCGATCAAGCCACGGGGTTATTGGCGTTTCGGAAAAGTGGTTCAGTTCGCTTTATAATAAAATGAACGGCTATGTGCAGCTGTAAAAGTGATATCGGGTGGTATCGATAATCTATTTATTTGGTGCCCTAAAACCTATTTGTTAAAGCTTTTATCCTGAATTAGCCATATACCTATAATGACGTCTTCTGTTGTCTCCAGCAGAAAAATTAAGCTGAATTAGTCTCCATATCACTTCTGCACTGACCAGCCTCGCCAGTCTTTTTCTTGCAGTCATTCGTGAACTAAGCTGTCAAGTAACATCCAGTCTAATGTTCAAGCATCAAATAAAGTTGGTGGTGGGGTTGATCCTCAAGATGAGCGGAAATGGTGGTGAGCTTTCGAAGGATTTTTAGTACCCTTGTAATTATTGCTTGGCCAAGTACTTTCATGCAAGCATAAGCACATGACACCTTCAATGACCTTTACGATGCCAGATTACCTCCATTGAACTGGTCTCGTTAGGGGTCACATAGGAAAGTTGTATTGCCCCACGCAACGGCTGGATCATACGATAGCGACGGAAAATGCGATGGAAATTTACCTTTCTTGTCTAGGCTTCCAAATAAGTCAGCATATGCTTAAATCACATTATGCCACACGACCATAACCTTCACTCCGAATGTACACCTGAACAGACTAGTTCGTGGAGTATGGGACTCACCTCAGTATATATTACATAAAGGACCTCTTGATTAGCAATACACTGGTTTTGACGAAAGCCTACGCCGTCCCGTAATATCTCTCTTGGAAGTAAATTTCACATTCATCAAGTGGACTGAACACTTATTGTTTGACCGTTTCGTCCAAATAACCTCTTGTACTAAAAAATTAATATGATTGCCTAACTCCTACTTTTCTTAGCTTTTCCATGAACCGTTGATTTTGTCCCCAACGCGATAGAGTAACACATTGTATATCTTGTTCGTCGTCCTGGGGAAATTGCACTTAATAGAAAGCTAGACGGGAAAGCCCCGTGAGTCTTTTCCCTCCAGCGTTTGATCCCATCTTTTTTTATGATTTGTTCCATGAGCTTCACCAGTCTAACAACAATGTCTCTTGCGGACTACCCTTTCGTTGATTGGTGATTCGTTGTCTATCGATAGCTTGCTGATTCAATGTGCACGTGGCGGAATGCAGTTGGGTAGCGAACACGGCAGCTCATAGAGTAACATGGGTGTGAAATGTACCACACATTCGTTGTTTGTTAGAAATTAAGGTAGTCGTGACTATGACAACACTACATTGAACGGTCGATCGAACCGATATCGGATTTGCGGGATTATACGGGATTATATATGTGATGTGTGCATCTCACGTGTAGCTGACACGTTGCTCGTTAAAAATCCTACACTTCTTGTGGTCATTAGTAAGAACAGCATGAAAGAGTGATCAATAAGCTAAGACGTCGCATGAAAAGAAGCGTATGGTACAGTTCGGAATGCATGCTGGAATCATGTTCATTGGATCGAAAAAATTAAACCGTTATCGGAATGACGGAGATGGAATACAGCCATAGGCCAGCATAACGTCAACGATTGCACGAAGTTGTTTTGAACACAGGAGCTAGAACTAGGTGAGTGATTTTCATTGGTTTCGCTGTCGATAAATGCAGATATTCCCCTGTTTGCGGTCGATTAGCGGACGCCCGCCGCATGATGTAAGCGAGGTACTTGGATGGTTCTGGTTAGAAGCAGATCAGAGGCACTTGAAACGGGATAATGTTCTCGAGTCGATGGACATTTCTGGTTATTTTGTTCTTGTTCTAGAGAATTTAAGGAACTCTTCATTGCTCATTAGTTAGCAAGCTTTTGCGACTGTCTAAGGAGAGAAACGGTCTCGTAACATATGTATATATTTCCAAAATATACCCCGCTGCATCGTTCCGACCATGAAATTAAACTAGCCACGAGGTTTGTGCTCTGCAAAAAATTATACTGCAGCCCATTCTGTTATTTCTTTTCTTGCGGTTCTTTGAGGAAACGTCTTGTGCCAATCTTGTGTACACTGTGCTACCATGAAGTGAAAATAGCTCTTTACAGTGAAATCTCTCCGCTGGATCATCCATCAGATTTTCATTAGGGCACTCGGAGAATCGGTTTTCAATCTTAACATAAACACGCCAAGCTGATTCGTTTTTTTCGAAAATACAGCAGCTTCCGTACGTGTTTGTTCAGGCTCCGTCTCAGGTCGGGGATATACTAGAGGACATAAGAACGGTACACAAGCAAATTTACTTTGGCTTGGCTCACAGACGCTTACCATGATGCGGTGGTCCCGAGCTATCCTACACTGTGCACGCATTCTAGGTATCACAAACTATCCTCGCCTTACCTCACCGAAAATTCTGTTGTAACTTATTCTGTGGAAATAACTCATAACTACTAAGTGAAAACTGTAAACGCTATTTGATTAGAGCGATGAGTGAAATTATATAATCCATCAAAAGAAGCTGGTCTCTAGGCGCTTGCGAAATATCGACGATCATTTTAAGTGGAAATGGCGAAAAAGCTTTGCATTTGAATTTTCTGGGTTTCTGCAGACAAAAAAACAGTTTAGGCCAATGCATTA